TTGCTATCTGGTAACAGGAGCCGACAACGAGACAATCACAAGTTAAAGTGACTCAGAGCTGCGCCAAGCAATGTCGCATGAGCAGCCTGGCCAGCGCTCCAAGGGGCAGTCTCCCCCCCCAACCTGTGCTCCTCCTTCCCCCGACATTCAGGGTGTCAAACTGCCCCCCCCCCACATCTTTCCAAGGAGATTGTGTAAGCCTTTCGAATACGTTGGTTCCTCTAATTTGCCTGCTTGGATCAGAGTTCAGCTAGCGAATGGTGCTAGCCCAATCTGTACGTTTCAGCGCGAGGGTCCCGTCGAAACACTGAAAGGATCATTGTTAGACTTCAGAGTCAACGGGCCATTGAGATGGCTGGGGTCTCTCTGGGCCGGTAGGAGGGGAAAGATGCTGTAAGCCACTTACACGCCACTTCTCATGTTCCCCTGTGGGACACAGAGAATTTCTGCCCACCTTGCAGAGTGCAGGCATGGCTGCGTCAGTCACACTGCGGGCAGCTCCCTCCTCTCATACAGATGAGCTCAGGCTCTCTGCACATTCAGGCAGCATCACTTAGTCAGTTACGCTCAGGGCAGCCCCACATGTGTTGCTCAGGACTGGCTCGGGGTTCCGCCCTGGCCCAGCCCATCAGCCTCCCTGCCTTGAATGAAAGAAATGCCAGTCCACGTCCAGAGAGGCTAGTTCGCTGCTTTCTCTTTTAATAGTGCACAGAATCACTTTACAAAAGAAATCCCCCTTCCCCAAAAATAAAGAATCCTAAATACAGAGGCAGTTCAACACTTGGGATCTTGTTTTTTTGGCAACACGTTTGTGTGTTTGTTTTTGGAGTGACCCTACTTTAAATCCATTGTCCTTGTCCTTTTTTCTACAGCCCCGGGAGCTCCCTCAGCAGAGCCCAAGCCCTGGCCCGGTGGCAAAGCGACTTGCCTTGACTGGCTGGAAAGAAGGGTAATTTGAGGAACAATCCTTCACTTGTTTCTGGATCCGAAAGCGCCGTAGGGACAGCCGTCCGGCCTCGCCATTGCTGCAGTGCGGCGAGAGGGGAAACCGAGGCACCAAGAGGTGAAGCGACCTGCTGGGGGTTGCACAGTGAAGCAGGGGTGGAGCTGGGATAGAACCAAGGAGTCCTGACTCCCCGTCTCCATTGCTGTAAGCACCAGACCATACTCCTCACCCCACCCCAGAGCTGGGGACAAAACCCAGGAATCCCAACTCTGAGCACCCCCCTGATCTAACCACTAGTTATCACTTCCCTCCCAGAGCTAGGGGTAGAACCTAGGAATCCAGAGTATGACACCCCCCCCCCCCCCCCCCGCTCCAGAAATACAAAAAGAAACTAAGAAGCCACCTCTCCACAAAGCTGCCAAAATAACCTCCAACTCGATTGGCTTTTGTTTGTGTAGCTGCCTGCATGTGGCGAGATAAGGAGTCCCTCCATCTTAATGGAGGATGTAACACTCGTGTGTGGGGCGGGGGGTTATGGTACCATGAATCCTCGCCTTGTCCTTTGGGATAGGAATGGAGTGAGGGCAGACTAGGGTGACCAGATGTCCCGATTTTATAGGAACAGTCCCGATTTTGGGGGTCTTTTTCTTATATAGGCTCCTAGTACCCCCCACCTCCTGTCCCCATTTTCCACATTTGCTGTCTGGTCGCCCTAGGGCAGACATAAAGCCCCGAGGCAGAATTTTCGTTCTGTGGGAAATGTGGTCATTTTGAAATCCCTTTTCCTTCCAGATCAGAATGAAAAGCAAAGACTTTCTAACTTCCCTGCTAAGTAAAGCTTGAGGAAATCATTGCATTATGCTAAATGTTTGTTTCAATTTTGACTTTTGATTTTTTTCACATTATAATTTACGCCACAGAAGAATAAAAAATCTCTATAATTACAATTTAGATCATTGAAGATGAAAACATTTCATTTCAACCTGACTGTTTCAGAGATAGATCATTTCTAAGATAATCATGATGCTGGTATTTATGATATACACTGGACCCTCGCTAGAACGCGCGTCTATATAGCGCGAATTCGCATATAACGCAGTCGCAGCCATGGATTCCAAATTTAATTACTTTAATTGCAATTCATTTTAATGCAGTCCCCACTATAACGCGGTACCACACATGGATCCCAAATCCCGCGTTCTAGCGAGGGTCCCGTGTATTTGTAATCAGTCTAAAATTGAAAAAAGCCAGAATGTTTCATAAATAGTAGTATTTTAGAATTGAAATTGATAGTTCAATCTCAAATTGAAAAAAGTCAGATTGAAACCATGTTTGTTTAAGATTCGCTCATAAATTATATGTAGGCTTGGGAGAATTCCATTTGTTAATAATTTTGACAGATAATATCTGTTTATTTTTAGGCATTTTTATATATTATTGGTTTAAATGTTCACAATTGCACAAAATTATGGATTTTTTTTTCAATTTTTATTGCTCTAAACTTTCACAGTTGCGAGAAATTATGGAGGGTCAGACAATAATTAATGACAGTAGAGGCTGAGATTCAAAAAGTTAAAGCTTTATAACTGTTAAAACGTAAATTGTCAACATCACGTGAAAATATACAAAGTAAATACCCTTCAACTCGAATAAGTTCTCAAGTTGCATTTTTCTCACTTTGTCTATCTGTAAACGTTGACTATCATTGATGGAAATATTTTTTCCTTGGTTTGTTTGTGGCTGGTGAAATCCATGTTGACCAACATTTACCAATAAATATCGAATCCTTATTTATAATAACTATTATAATCTAAAATAAAAAAAACATTGTGTTTGAAGTTTGGCCTTTTTGTTTAAATATTATAATTTATAGTATATCATAAATAGCATTATATATAATTATACTCTGTATGAGCTAAAAATTTGATTGAAACAAGTTTCTAATGATCTGATTGTTATATGTAAACACAAAAAGTCAAAATTGAAACAGTGTTCTTATTTTAGCTGAAGAATTTTAAAAAAATGTGAGATTATATTATTATTTATAATATATAATAATCATATCGGTCTAGTTACTAATATCATCTACATTTTTAAAAATCTCTCTAGCTAAAGTAGAAACATTGATTTTGAGTTTATTTTGACAGATGATGATCATGTATAATCTAAGCTGAAATAAAACGATTTGAAGTGAAAACTCCAAAGGTTGCGCTGAAAAGAAATGTCGCCCAACCAGACGCCTGCTTGTGGGAAGTTGCCATTTGCACCAAACAGCATTTTTGGATGGAAAAAACAGTCCCTCGGGCAAGCGCTGTGCAGGTCGGCCGGGAAGGGGCGTGGAGCAGCCCCGGGGCTAGATTTTTTTGGTGTCTACCTGCTATGCTAGGAAACAAGGTGAGTGCTCTGGTGTGTGGAGAGGTGGCTGTTTGTGCATTTCACGTGTGTTAGCAGCTCAAACTCCAATCCCAAGACTCCGTCCCGGAACCGGATGACTGCTAGCACATGTTCTGCGTTCGGAGCCACCCATGTGTTTAGAACACCGCCTCCTAGTGAAAACGCGGCCAGAGTGTGAAGCTCCTCATGGGCTGGGAGGATTAATGGGGCCAGCCTCCATGTCCTGCTGTCTGCGTGTATCAAAGCGAAGCCACGTGCGCCTGTTGGCTACCGGGGCTAGCGAAGAGTGCTGCCCCGTGTGCCGAACGGGCGGAGAGCGGGAGATCTGGCCATGCGGGCCTTGCAACCAGAGCGGCATGGCTGAGGCCTGTCTGGGGGAAGCGGAGGCACAGAGGGGTGAAAGTGGCTTGCCTGAGATCACACACTGCGTCAGGGACAAAGGTGGGCATAGAACCCAGGAGTCCTAGTTCCTAGCCCCCCTGCTCTAACCCACCAAACCCCATTGCCCTCCCAGAGCCGGGGAGAGAACCCAGGAGTCCTGGCTCCCAGCCCCCCCTGCTCTAACCCACCAGACCCCATTGCCCTCCCAGAGCCGGAGAGAGAACCCAGGAGTCCTGGCTCCCAGCCCCCCTTGCTCTAACCCACCAGACCCCACTGCCCTCCCAGAGCCAGGGAGAGAACCCAGGAGTCCTGGTTCCCAGCCTCCCCTGCTGTAACCACCACCCAACCGTCCACTACAGAGCAGTGAATCCAGCTGCATTTAAAATAACCCTCTGATTTCCATCTTCTCCTTTGAAACCGCGTCTGGAAGAGAGACCAACCCCGTTCTAAACCGGCGAACCCCGAATTGAAACCGGAACCTCCCCCCCGGTCCCCCCAGGAAGAATCGTTTGCCTTTGAAATAGATCGGGGCAGAAAGGAAGCAATCCGGCTGGAACGGGAAACCCTGCTTTATGCTTTATTTCTCTATATAAATTACCCCCCCCAAGCCCCGCCCCAGCATAAATATTTTGCAAAGCAGTTTCATCATCTCCTTACACTTGAGACAGCCTCCCATCCCCCGGTGAGTTAATTAAATACGTCAAGGGGGCGGGAGAACCCAGGCGTCCTGGCGGTTGGGGTCCGGAGAGCGCGCCAGCGTCCCAAGTCGGTCCTGCCGTCTGTCTAAAAACGCTAACGGGACTTGGCGGCTGAGGAGGACTGTACCCACTGTGGGGCCAGAGGGGAGGCATTGGGGAGTCAGTGGGGCAGCCGGGGGGGGGGGGGGGGGGGGCAATTTTGTTCTGTAACCCCCCCCGTCAAACCTGGCCACCCCAGTCTTGTCCCTCTTCCCCCCGGAAAGGCAGCGGTGTGGGTGCGCCTGGCACCGGTAACACCTAGTTGTGACCCCCACCCTAGATCCGGTCCAGGGGCAGCGGAAAGGGGGCGATAGTCCATCACCGCTGGGCGTCCTCCCCCCTTCACCTCCAATCCAGGCCTCGCTCGCAGTCCGGCATCCCCGGCCCGGCCGACCGGCTCTTTCCAGCCGGGGGCACCGCGGGATGGCCCCCCAGGAGAGCGGAGGGGTCAAAGGCCAGCAATTCACCCCCTCCGCACCACCCCGGCCGCAGGGGGCTGCTGTCCCCGGCTGGCCCAAGGCAGTGCGGCCGTGGCCCCAGCGTCAGATGGCCGTGTCCCACAGCACCGTGTGCTGGCGCCGGCAGGGCGGCGTGCCCGCCTTGCGGGTGTCCGTGGTGCGGCGCCAGCTGGGGAGGATGGGCATGCTCTCCTGTTTGCAGAGGCTGCGCTCGGGCCGGTGCCGGGCCTTGATCTCCTTGCAGACGCAGCGCTTCCGCTCGATCACCTCCAGCAGCTTCCCGTCCCGCTCCTGGGTGCCCGGCGCCACCCCGGGCAGGGGCGGCAGGCCCTGCCCGCCGGAGGGGAGAGTGAGACGGGCCGCAGAGCGCGGCCTGAGCCCCTGCTCGCCACCACGCACAGCGTCCCAGCCCGGGGATCCCCGCGGCTCCCCCAGTGACCCACAGCCCCTGCTCTCCTGGCTCGGGGATCGCTGACCCCCATACCTAACCCACAGCCCCTGGTCTCCCGGCCCGGGGATCCCCGCAGCTCCCTCAGTGTCCCACAGCCACTGGTCTCCCAGCCCGGGGATCCCCGCAGCTCCCCCAGTGTCCCACAGCCCCTGGTCTCCCGGCCCGGGGATCCCTGACCCCCATACCTAACCCACAGCCCCTGGTCTCCCAGCCTGGGGATCCCTGCAGCTCCCCCTGGTGTCCCACAGCCCCTGGTCTCCCAGCCCGGGGATCCCCGCGGCTCCCCCAGTGACCCACAGCCCCTGCCAGCCCAGCCCTGCCCCTCCAGCTCTACCAGTGCCCCTCACTCCCGACCCGCAGCCCCTGCTAGCCCAGGCCTGGCCTCCTCCCCCCAGCCTGTCTCCCTGGGTGCTGGACACCTTACCAGGCTGGCTGCGTCTTTGGGGTGGCTGCACGGCCTGTGTGTGTGAATCACGGTGTGTCGCACCCCAGAGGTGGAAGCCGACCGGCCCAGGCGGTAACCTCCAGTGAGGTCTGGAGAGTGGGAAGCCAGCTGTGAGATGGGTCACCCCGCCACACGGCGCCCCCTGCCCAGCCCCCCACCGCCCTGCAGCCCAGCGTCCCGTGTCACCCCACTGGGATCAGCTCTGAGCCAGAGGCGAGTGCTGGCTCCCCCTCCCTTCCCCGCGGAGCTCACCTCCCCCAGTCCTTGCCAAATCCCCCGCCCCGGGGCAGCCCCCTGTCCCGCTTCCCCCACGGTCCCCGGGGGTACCTCCGTTGCGGTGGCAGGCAGGGAAGGTCTGGCATGGCACAGGCAGCCCCGTTCGGCAGCCCGGCATCTTGGGCACCATTCCCTCGGGTCCCGGGGCCCGCACAGGGATCCCCGACAGCGAGGTCCCCGCCAGGGCTTTCTCCTCCCTGTCCAGCTTCAACTGCGCCTCGCCGCTGCCGTTCCAGACCCGGGTGCCCTCGGCGGGCTCTGCCAGGGCAAAGGACAGGGTCAGAGGGGAACACGTTCGAATCCTCCATCCCCTGAGCCAGCCAGTGCCTGCCCTGGGGCCGGGTGGGAGCTGGCGCCCCCTAGAGGGGACAGGCCCCTGCCCCCCGAGCCAGCCAGTTGCTGCCCTGGGGCCGGGTGGGAGCCGGCGCCCCCTAGAGGGGACAGGCCCCTGCCCCATTCCCCACCCCCCGAGCCAGCCAGTCCCTGTCCTGGGGCCGGGTGGGAGCCGGCGTCCCCTAGAGGGGACAGCCCCCTGCCCTATTCCCAATACTCACTCTCTGGCTCCTTGCCTTTCCGGTTGGCGTAGAGACCTTTCCGCTGCAGCGCCCACCCCACGCCCAGCGTCTCCTCGTCGGCGCCAGCCACCACGTGGGAGCAGGCGATGCTGGCGAAGGCCCCGCGGTCCTGCAGCTGGAACTTCACCACGGGCGCCGCCGCCGCCTTGGCCCCGGCCCCGGCCCCTTTGACACTCTCGTAGGCCGGCGGGCGCTTCATCCCCCCACAGGGGGCTGGGTAAGTCCACAGCATGCCCAGGGGCGGCGCGGGGCGCGGGGCCGGCTTGCCCACGGGCACGGTGGCCGGCCGGGCACACAGCATGCCGTGCAGCACCGAGATCTCCTTCTCCGTCTTCTGCTCGGCTGGCAGCCCCGAGTGGGTGGTGACTTTGACAGCCGAGTACACCATGGTGTAGGACACCGCCGGCTTGTCCTTGGCCGGCTGCGGCACGGGCAGCATGGAGGGCAGCGGCTTGGCTGGGGGGCAGATCATGCTGTGGGAACTGGGCAGCTCCTTCTCCGCCTTCTGCTGCCCGGCCGGCTGCGGGGGTAGCGGGGTGGAGTGGCTGCGGGCGCGGCCGGAGGGCACCAGGGCTGGGTGCCCCGGCGGCTGGGGCGCAGCCGGCGCCTCCTTGGCGTGGCAGGGCACGGGGAGCTTGGAGGCGTCCTGGGTGCCCGCTTTGTACCCTTTGTGCCCCGTGCCCTGGGGGAAGGCCAGCAGGGGCGGGCGGTGTTGGAGCAGGTTGGGGAAAGGTGGGGGGATGTCGCAGGGGGAGGCCTGGTGCGGGCGGGGGGAGGCGGGCACGCCGTTGGCCTCCTCGGGCAGTGGGTACTTCATCTCCTCGTAGATCGCCTCGCTCTCATCGGAGTCCTCCTCCCCCGCCGCGGGCCTCCCGGCGCCCCGCAAAACGTCCCCCACCATCTCGATATAGACGGGCTCCTCGTCCTCGGGGTCTGAGCCCTTGCTGTGGCCGTGGGAAAAGGCCCGGCCGAACCGCGGCGGTGGCCCCCCACCCGTGGGGGTCGCCAGGGGGCGGCTGGAGTAGGTCTCGTCAAAGGAGACCGAGAGCTGGGTGTTGGGGCTGCGCTTAGGCTTCTGGGGGGGCACCTTGCGCCCCAGCTCCCGGCTCTCGGAGCATGACTTCTGGGGGCCTGGGAGAGGGAGAAAGTAGAGCTGAGATGCGGCCACCTCTGGGGGGGGTGGCTGGTTACGCGGGGACCCCTCGCCCGGCGCTGAGATGCGGCCACCTCTGGGGTGGGGCGGCTGGTTATCCAGGGACCCCTCACCTGGAGCTGAGATGCGCCCACCTCTGGGGCGGGGTGGCTGGTTACGTGGGGACCCCTCGCCCGGTGCTGAGATGCAGCCACCTCTGGGGTGAGGCACAGCGGCTCATCTGTTTAGGACTGGAAAGGAATGCCGGGTTTGACTGAGGTGGCGGGGGGGGGGGGGGGGGGGCTTGAAGGAAGCTGGCCAATCGCTGGAGCTGAGGTTCGACCAGGGCATTGGGGCTGGCTCTGCCTGTCAGGGGAGGACGCCCCCTACTGAGCCCCCCGCCCTGCTCCCTGCAGCACAGCACCCCCTAATGGCACACAGGAGAATGCCAAACACACACACACACACACGGCTCCACCAGTCCTAAGGCCTCACCGGTTTTCTTGCTGCCGGACGGCTCTGCCGCCCGCCCCTCGCCTGCCATGCTGAGCTTGGTGCTGGGGTGGCGCTTGGGCTTGGCCGGGGGCTTCCTGGCGCCAGCGGCCCCCTCACCATTCTCCACGCTGCCCACCGAGTGGCAGGAGAGGGAGCGGGGCGCCATGCCGCTGGTGCAGGGGTGGGGTGCGTGCTCCTGCGAGGCCGGCATGGTCATGAAGCCCATCCGGAAGTGGCGGCGGAAGGAGGCCACGTCCCGGATCTTCCCCGCTCCCGGGTCCTTGGCTGAGCTGTGGGGACACAAAGAGCAGGAGGTGAGGGGGCACAGGACACCTGGGTACTCGCGGCGGCTGCCAGGAGTTGCCACAAGGTGGGCTAGGCGGGTAGAACCGCATCTGCAAGACCAGGGCAGGTGCCGCGTATACCAGTAGTTGCAACAGTGTGGCACGGCCAGGCAGTAAACAGCCATTGCCACTACGGGTGTCTATGCAGAGGCGGATTACAGGTTTGGGGGGCCCTGGGCCAGATCAAGTGGAGGCCCCTCCCCCGCCCCTTCCACCGGCAATCCTGCCACCTGCCCCCCCAGCACGCCTGCCGGGGAAATGGGGGCGGGCCGGCGGGGCGTGCGATTGCCCATCTTTCCGGGGGCCCCGTGGCTGATCCATCTCTGTGTCTATGGCGTCCGGTGCTGCACCTTGCACCCAGGCTGCCTTCTTGGGCAAATCCCAGCATGCATTGCATCTGTCCGACGCTGTTGCAATGGCTGTTCTATCCTGTATCCGAACTGCCTCGCTGCTGTGGCTGAATCTGGGCCACGTTACTGCATGACATTAAGCCGCTGCGGGCCTCGTTCTGCCATGCACTGGAACCTCATTGTGACAGCGAGTGGTCTCCATCCGACCCCCAGCGCCTCGGGTGAGGGGTCCCTGTGTAACCGGCCGCCCCGCCCCAGAGGTGGGCGCATCTCAGTGCCGGGTGAGGGGTCCTCGCGTAACCAGCCGCCCCGCCCCAGAGGTGGGCGCATCTCAGTGCCGGGCGAGGGGTCCTCGCGTAACCAGCCGCCCCGCCCCAGAGGTGGGCGCATCTCAGCGCCGGGTGAGGGGTCCCCGCGTAACCAGCCGCCCCGCCCCAGAGGTGGGCGCGTCTCAGCGCCGGGTGAGGGGTCTCTCGGTAGCCAGCCGCCCCGCCCCAGAGGTGGGCGCATCTCAGCGCCAGGCGAGGGGTCGCCGCGCAACCGGCCACCCCGCCCCAGAGGTGGGCGCATCTCAGCGCT